TTTTTCTGTCTTTTTTTGACACAGGGTCTCATTATGCAGTTCAGGCTGGCCTTGAGCTCACTTTGTAGCCCAAGCTGGCCTCAAACTTGCAACAATCCTCCTGCCTCAGCCTCCTGAGTGCTGGGATTGCAGGCGTGCACCACCATGCCCAGCAAAAGAATTATTTTACCCAGGGATGGTGGTACACACCTATAATCTCAGCACTTGGGAGGCTGAGGTAGGAGAATTGCCATGAGCTCAAGCCCAGCCTGTACTATATGTCAGGCCAGCCTGATCTACATAGCAAAAACCTGTCTCAACACAGCAACAACAACAACAACAACAAGAATTATTTTAAACATTTATACTATAATGATTAGATCAGCAGCAAGCTTTGAGATTTCTGTTGTACAATTACCTCCATGATATTCACTGACACAAAAGAGTTTCTTTTCTACCTCTGAAAACCTGTATGCTAAGAATATAAAAACAACATTGGTAAGATAATAAAAACTATAAGAAAATATAAGTATTTACAAAAACCATGGGAACATTTACTCAATCTAAAAAACATACATTGCTCTCCACTCCTTTCTCTGATAACAGCTCTAAAATCTAAAATTCTTACCTTTGGCATCTCGTAACAGAGACTGCCGACCAACACCTAGTAAGGTCTGTACCCCAGGAACACTCTGAGGGATCTCCTTATCTAGCAAAGGACCAATTCTCTCACAAATTTTAAGGAGGTAGTCTGGAGGAATGTGTGCATTGGCTGCTACCTAAAAAGGAAAAATGTAAGGAAAGAAACATTTGGTTAAAAGCAGGTTTGTTACTAAACTATTCGGTCATGAAGCAAAGCACAGTTTTAAAACAGAAAGTCAGGAAAATAAAATTTTATTTCATACTATACCAAATTTAATAGGAATGGTCAAAAATAAGCATAATGAAATGACCTAACAAGCCAGGGATATAGCTCAGCAGTAGAGTACCTGCCTGGTAAGCACGAGGTCATCAGTTCAATTTCCGGTACAAAAAAAAATTGAAATGACATAATGCATTGAAATGGTATGGCACTCTTACTTTCATATATTGTATTTTGATTAAAGTATTTCCTGTGCTGTTAATTTTATAAAATATGCATTATCAGGCTGGGGAATTAGCTCAGTGAAATAAGTGCCTACCTGGCAAGTGCAAGGTCCTGAGTTCAATTCCCAGTACCAAAAAAAAAAAAATGTATTATCAAAGGACCAAATTGGCACCAAAAAAAGCACCAAAAGTAACCATGCCCAAAATAAAGAAAAAAAACCACAAAGATGAATCAACTCTGTATTACTTGAGTTATTCAGTATTCATAATGAACTAATCAAAACTCTTAAGATCTAAATTCTATTTAAATGAAAGGTATTATTTGTATTAAATTATCACCTAAATCCCCTTAGTACTAACAGTACACATTTATACAATAAAGCAGAATTATTCTTCCTATACAAAGTAATTTGTTACCCAAAGGGTATTCAACTAATGAATTTATAAATACCAAATGAGATAACTAAGCTATGTAACCAAAACTCCTTCCCCCTTTTTTTTTAAATACAACTAAATTTCTGGACATGAGCAAATATATGTCAATGTGAATTAGTTGATAAAACAACAAAAACTGTGTTTTTTTTAAATTGAACTAATATTCAAATCTTTGATGTGTTTCATATATACATAAGTATTAAAACAAGAGATAAGCTGGGGGTGGTGGTGCACGCCTGTAATCCCAGCACTAGGGAGGCTGAGGCAGGCGGATTGTTGCGCGTTTGAGACCAGCCTGGGCTACAAAGTGTGCTCAAGGCCAGCCTGAACTGCATAGCAAGACCCTGTCTCAAAAAGGGAAAAAAGAAAAAGAAAAAGAAAACAAGAGATAATTAGCCTTGAGAGCTTGTTTGGAGGTTCTAGCAGGGAAGCGCAGCTACTCATACACCCTTGACCTAGGAATGGTCCTCTTCTATCTGGGGTGGTCATCCTTTTTAACTGAGTGCGCAGCTTCGGGAGGGACGCACACAGAGCACTGAGGGAGGGTCACCCGCCTAGCCAGCCAGATCAGCCAAATCAATCCTGGCGATCAATGGGGTGACAGACTGTCGCAGCCAGATCGCCCTCACATCCAAAACAAGAGAAAACTCGAGTATTAAAAATCCTTAGTTAAAAAGAACAGCTATACCCTCAAGTTGACATAGCTCCTAAAATCATTTGGCTAGAATGCTAATTTTATGTTTTATCATAAATATGCATAAATGTACCATCGCAAAAGGCATACATCAACAGGTTAAGAATAACACAACATAAAATAGTTTTGTAAATCATCACTGGTGGTCACTATGACAGAAGAAATTTTTTGTTTTGTTCACTGCCACATTTCTAGCACTAGCCAGGCATGGCGGTGCACACCTGTAATCCCAGCACTCGGGAGGGTGAGGCAGGAGGGTCATTGCGAGTTCAAGTCCAGCCTGGGCTACAAAATAAGCTTAAAGCCAGCCTGAACTGTATAGTGAGACCCTGTCTCAAAAAAGACAAAAATATATATATATATATAAATAAAATAAATATATTTCTAACACTCAGACAAGTGCTGGAATAAAGCAGGAATAGATAAATATTTATGGAATAAATCAATGAACCAATGAATGAATGAATAAAAAAGTAAAGTCTAACTGTAATAATGTTATCATAGGGAGACCTAGTGAAATAATTTCAGATTTTCTTCTCAGGGTGCCTTTGCTTTCCAGGGAAATACAGGTCAAAGAACTAAAATGTAACTTGCCCACAATTCTAGGAATATGGAGTCCTGTTATGATAATTTTTTTTTTTTTGGTCTTTTTGAGACAGGGTCTCACTATGCAGTTCAGGCTGGCCTCCAACTTGCAGCGATTCTCCTGCCTCAGCCTCCCGAGTGCTGGGATTACAGGCATGTACCACAACGCCTGAATATGATAATTATTTTTTAAAAAATTCTTTCCTGCCAATTATCTTTTGCATCCTGCAAAAAACAATTTTAATACATCAACATAGGTAGGAACTGAGCAACTGTCATGAAGTTCAAGAACAGCAACCAGATGATTTCAGGCTTTTTATCTACATGTTCAGCTTCTGGATTGGAACAAAAGATTATGCAAATTCTTCCAATTATTTCTCACATTTTTTAGTTTGGTTTTCTAAGCAAATAGCTATATAAAACTATTATTTTAGTAAAATATACAATTAATATTAAAGTCAAGCCGGGCATAGTGCCGCACGCCTATAATCCCAGCACCCGGGAGGCTGAGGCAGGAGGATCGGTGTGAATTCGAGACCCGCCTGGGCTACAAAGTAAGCTCAAGGCCAGCCTGAACTGCATAGCGAGACCCTGCCTCAAAAAGACAAAAAAGCTATGAATATTAAAGTCAAAGCAACTGACAATTCAAATATTTCTTATTACATACAAAAAACGTATACAAAAGGATATCCTAAAATCTTACTTTGTAATTCTTATTCATTTCTTAACCATTTCTTATCCATCATTAGAGTATTTCCTAAGTATTTCCATATGCAAATGCACTTACTACTGTAGCTTTTATATATATATATACATATATATATATATATATATATATATACACACACACACACACATATATGTGGCATTGCATACAAATATTTATTACAGATCTGATTTTTTTTCTCCAACACTGTCTTGGATAAATTAGGTTTCTGAAGTTTTCAAATTTTATTTTGGTTTTTTTTGGGTGGTTTTTTTCTTTTGAGACAGGGTCTCACTATGCAGTTCAGGCTGGCCTTGAGCTCATTTTGTATCCCAGGCTGGTCTCAAACTCCCAACGATCCTCCTACCTCACCAACCCCCAGAGTCTGGGTTTTTTTTTAAACACAGGGTCTTAGTATGTAGCACAGGTTGGCCTCAAACTTGCAATTCTTCTACCTCAGCCTTCCAGAGAGCTGGGCTTACAGGGGTATGTGCCCACACCCACCTAAATTAAGCTTCTGATATAAATCATTACTTTTCAAATGGTAGGGAAGGGGCTTTACATAGGGTGAAAGCTGAAGTTGTTAATGATAATTTCATTTGTTTCACCCTCTGACGAAGAGTTATTCACTAGTTATAAACCTTAACTACCTATCTTAGAAATGCAATGTATGTAGAAACATATAAGACAGAAAGTGGGCTGGGGATGTAGCTCAGTGGCACATGCGCCTTCCTGGCAAGCAAAAAGTCATGAGTTCGATTCCTGGTACCAAAAAGAAAAATGGTAGTTTTCTAATTAGAACTTTTAGATTTACCTTATAGAAAATCTGTCAGAATTACATCATAAACTGACATTTGTTTCCCCAAATTATTTCACTCTACAGAAACAATGCTGTCTGACTTTCAGCTAATTTATACAAAAATGTTTGTCAGCTGGGTGTGGTGGCACATGCCTGTAATCCCAGCACTCGGGAGGCTGAGGAAGGAGGGATGCTGTGAGTTTGAGGCCAGCCTGGACTACATAGTGAGACTCTCTCTCTCTCAAAAAAAAATGTTTGTAGTGCCAGGGATGTAGGTCACTGGTACAGCACCTGCCTCGCAAGCACAAGGTCCTGAGTTCAATTCCTGGTACCAAAACAAAAATGTTTGTCAACTTAGTAATAGTTCAAAAACACAAAACCATAAATGGTAAAAATGAATCTGTACATTCAGCAATTAAAACAAGGCCTATCTACTCATAAATTCTTCCACTTGAATATTTGTATAATAAACTAGCGCAAAAATTTGTGAGTTTGATTTTTCCCCTTTCTAAGCAGTCACTTTCTAAGCAGTCCATTCAAAATTTTTTTCCTATAAAAAAATCAATAAATACTTTATTATAGTACTAGAGAAAAATAGATTCTTGCAGAACAATACCAGTAACAATTTTTTTCAGTGAACATGTTAGCTTCTCCTTTAACTATTAACAGGTTTCCAGACCATCAGCAGCTCTTACGATAATGCTTGTTCTACATCAAATTTTAAGTCTTATAAATTGTAGTTAATGTTTACTTTAATCCATTTATTTTTCATTAAAGCTGGAATTCTTTAAAGGTAATCTTATGCACCCTGAATAGTTTTTTTGTTTTTTTTTTTTTTGTCTTTTTGAGACAGAGTCTCACTATGCAGTTCAGGCTGTCCTTGAGCTCGCTTTGTAGCCCAGGCTGGTCTCGAACTTGCAAGGATCCTCCTGCCTCAGCCTCGCGAGTGCTGGGATTACAGGTGTGGGCCACCATGCCCAGCACCCTGAATAATTTTGAAGGTTTTTTAATAATCCCATATTTCAAAACACATTAATATAAAATAAAATACATTAATTTTAAAACTATGTGCTTTAAACTATTCTACAAAAATCATGCCTTAATGTTATATACCATTTTTTTTCAATTAAACTCATTCTAATTTCAGCCATTTAATATTTCTCTCTGGAATATAATGGTTGACTACCATCAAAAAAGTGGTTTGAAATCTACAGAAGAAAAACATTCTCTAAAGCTATTGGGCAAGGGTCAGGGAGATAGCTCAGCGGCACAAGCACCTGCCTGGCAAGCGCAAGGTCCTGGGTTTGATTCCCATACCCCTCCCCCTACAAAAAAAAAACACAATTAATTAAAAGGGATACAGCTGGTCACTGAATAAAAGGCAAAAACATACCTAATCTCAGGAGGCCAGACCTCCACCAAGAGATACTGGAAATAATAATTTTCAGAGAGGAGTGACATAATTTTTTACCAA